TAACTTTTATTTATTTATTCGAGAGAGAGAGCACAAGCAGGGGGGTCAGAAGGGTCCCTGCTAAGCAGGGACCCAGATTCGGGGCCCAATCCCAGGACCCTGGGACCATGACCCAAGCCAAAGGCAGACACTTAACTGCCTGAGCCACCCAAGCACCCCTTGATTTTAGTATTTTGAATGTTTTCTCTTGACCAGTTTAGCCCAAGTTTTGTTGATTTTGCTGATCTTTTTGAAGAACCAACTTTTGGTTTCATTGATTTTCTCTATTGTTTTGCCATCCTCAATTTTGTTTATGTCTGCTCCGATATTTGTTATTTCCTTCCATCAGCTTGCTTTGGGGTTAACTTGCTCTTCTTTTTCTAGTTTCTTAAGGTGGAAAGTTAGGCTATTGATTTCAATTCTTCTTTTTTAGTTTAGGCATTTAGAGCTCCCTTTGAGCACTGCGTTAGCTGGATCTCATCACATTTTGGTATATTGGGTTTTCCTTTTCATTCACTTCAAAGTAGTTTTCTCATTTCCCTTGTGATCGCTTCTTCTTTTTTTTTTAAGATTTTTATTTATTTATTTGACAGAGATCACAAGTAGGCAGAGAGGCAGGCAGAGAGAGGGGCGGTTGGGGGTGGGGAAGCAGGCTCCCTGCTGAGCAGAGAGCCCAATGCGGCCGCTGGATCCCAGGACCTGAGCCAAAGGCAGAGGCTTTAACCCACTCAGCCACCCCAGCGCCCCTTGTGATCTCTTCTTTGATCCAGTTATTATTTAGGGACATCTTTAGGTTTTTTATCTGCTGTATTTATTAAATAATAATTGTTGTATACTGAGATAGAATTATATGATGGTCCCTAGTGCTTACTTTCTAAAAATAACATCTAGTTTTAGCTTGTCTGAATGGAGGAAATATTAAAACAACAACAACAAACACAAGTAGTTAACAGAAAAGTAGGCTCTTCACTCTTACTTGCTTATAATAAATAGACTTGAACCTTTTTAACAAATAATGAAGACAAACTTGGTATTGCAAAAGCCCTACTGAAATTTAACATCTCTGCTATCCTCCTTTGTGTAATAAATTCTCTGTGGAGAGTAAGAAAAAAATCAATGGCTAATAAGTTTGTTCATGGTGAGGGCTAGGGATACAAGCTTGCTGAGTGTTTCCCTTGGGGCTTTCTATTTCTGGCTCACAAATGTGTTTGGGGGTGGGGGAGAAGTAAAAGGGGTAGTAGATAAAGATACCACTGTTTTAAAGATAGCTATTTAAAATTTCATGTGGCTAGTATGTGGATAGAAATAAAACTAGAATAGAAAAAGCTAAATTTTATATTACTTTCATAGTTTTCTTTGGCATTTGTGTTGGAGCATAAAAATCAGTACATTTACTTAGCCACATTAATACACTTGCTTACAAAAGAAATACGATAGAGCAAGGGGACAATGTGGTAATCACTGAATTTGTGAAAACTTTATGAAACATTGGCTAGGATGATTTTTGGCCCAGAGACATTTGGGAGGAATTCATGAGGTTGATTTCAGTTTTAGTTTCTGGTTCCTTCTATTAATTTCTCCTAGCTGTCCCCTAATCATTATGGCTTGTGAAATATATGAAATTAAGTTGTTAAAGCAACTAGTATACCAATCCACATTTGTATAATACCTTTTTCTTTTCCTTTTTTTTTTTTTCTTAAGATTTTATTTATTTATTTGACAGAGATTGCAAGTAGGTTAGAGAGGCAGGCAGAGTGAGAGGAGGAAGCAGGCTCCCTGCGGAGCAGAGAGCCCGATGCGGGGCTCTATCCCAGGACTCTGGGATCATGACCCGAGCCGAAGGCAGAGGCTTTAACCTACTGAACCACCCAGGTGCTCATTAAAAAAAAAAAAAAAAAAATTATGTATTTTGAGCAAGAGAGGGTATGAGTGGGGGGAGGGGCAGAGAGAGAGAGAGAGAGAGAGAGAGAGAATCTCAAGCAGACTCTGTGCTGAGCATGGAGCCTGATGTGGGGCTTGATCCCACAACTGTGAGATCATGACCTGAGCTGAGATCAAGAGTTGGGCACTTAATCAACTGAGCCACCCATGTGCCCCTGTTTAATACCTTTTTCTTTATAAAATGCTCTTAGGCTTAAGATTCCCAGTAATCCAGGGCGCCTGGGTGGCTCAGTGGGTTAAGCCTCTGCCTTCAGCTCAGATCATGATCTTGGGATCCTGGGATCAAGCCCTGCATCAGGCTCTCTGCTCAGCAGGGAGCCTGCTTCCCCCTTTCTCTCCCCCTGCCTCTCTGCCTACTTGTAATATCTCTCTGTGACAAATGAATAAATAAAATATTAAAAAAAAAAATAGATTCCCCGTAATCCTTTAATGTACCTGAGTCTTGAAAACTGGTACACTAATCAGATTTTAGTTGGCATCCAAAGCCAAAAATTCAGTCTACCATTGAGGAAAATTAAACTAGGGAAGTGGTGGTTATGTGGTTTTAATGTACTTTTACAGGAGGGGACATAAAATACAGGAACCCTGGATTTATTCACTATGCCTTTCTAATTAAAAAAGAAAGGAATAAAATAATATTACTACCATGAAAACTAAACAAAGGGTTATAACTGTTGTTGGGTTTTAATGACTGTGTGAGGTTTACAAAATCAGTCAAGTCTCTAAAGTACACTGTGTCCTCTTTCTGGTTTCTCAAAGGCAGCCTCTCCTGATTTAATTAAAAACAAATATATGAGGTATTAGATTACAGTGTTGTGTTATTGATGATTGAGTTCACTATGTAGAGAATAGATGTGTTTACCATTTATTTTCCTATAGACCTGAATTTATGCTGTAAATATGTTCCTTTTTAAAAACTGTAGTAATAGCAAATATACTTTATTTCAACGTGAGATGATTTCAAAATATTTCATTAAAACTTCAGTTTCCTGAAGCGTATATTATTATATTGGAATAAAAACATGATAATGCATAGTATAAAAAGCTTTAAGAGAACTGTATTTTTTTTTTTTTTTAAGAGAGAGAATGCTTGGGGGTTGGGGGGCGAGAGGGAGTGGCAAAGGGAGAGAGAGAGAGAAGCAGACTCCTTGCTGAGCGCAGAGCCCATGCTCAATTCCAGGACCCTGAGATCATGACCTGAGCTGAAATCAAGAGTTGAACACTTAATCAACTGAGCCACCCGGGCACCCCTAAAAGACCTGTTTTTGAAAAGTTGAAACTGATTTGGGAGTAGTACTGAAGCAGCTAGCTTTACCACAGTGGTGGAAAGGAAGATTTTTTCCCCAGAGCCCTGGAGTATTCAGCGTCATTTCAGAGCCGCCCTGTAAAAACGCATGCTGAAGTGGTTGACCATCCGTCATGTTACCACCCAGTGTCTGGTAAATGTGGCTGATTCATACGTACAGTTTGGTTTTCCACCTAACCATTATACTTAGTAATGATCTGATCTTTATAGGGTACTGGATGTTGTTGGTGTCTGATAGTAATAGTGATTTTCAAACAAACTAAGAGTTTTTATAGCCACGTGAATATTGAATTTGAGTTTCATTACCTGATGAAGTTGCTACTTTATTGCAATGATTTGTCAGTGTTTGAGTTTTGCATCTTCTCTTTAACAATTGCCTTTTAAAGCCTCAGCAATATTCCTTTCAGAATACTGAAGTTGTGACATTTTTATTTCCTGAGGGTAATTTTCAGAAAGAACTAGGCGTCATTCAGAACCTCGTCAGATAAAGTAGATAATCTGAGGCAGACTGTGTTGTAGCTTCTAAGAAACTAGTTCTAAAAGCACTTTACCGAAAAGCTTGTTCATTGTAATAAATGTAACCCCTTTCAAGGTAATTGCTTTCAAGAAAATTTATTTGATGTTCAAGTTCAGGTTGATGTATTTAAAAATTCATCACATTTAGCTCATAGTTAAGTGTTGTATAAGAACTTAGGGAGGTTCCAAAACTAAACAAGGAAGATTAAATTACTTTGTCACCAAAAAATTGTGCCTATGCAGGAAAATGAGTAACAGAGATATTGAAAAGATGTCATATGACTAGTGGGAGCAGGTAGAGATCTCCTGAGACAGTCTAGGGTTATAATTACAGGCTTCTAAAGGCAGGAGAGAATTATCCTGAAGATGTCAGGGACTTTCCATGTGTTCCTTTGGACTTGGTAAACTTGAAGAGGGAAGTCATAGCCAAATTGCTTAGGATACATATTTATAAATAAGTAAATGAATAAATACACATACACACATACACACACACACACACATATATATATATATATATATAAAACATAGGGCACTTGGGTAGCTCAGTTGGTTAAGGGTCTGCCTTAGGCTCAGGTCATGATTTCAGGGTCCCGGGGTCAAATCCCACATCTAACTCTCTGCTCAGAGAAGCAGGCTTCCCACCAAGCAGGGAGCACAGGATGGGGGCTCCATCCCAAGACCCTAGGATCATGACCTGAGCCGAGGGCAGATGCTTAACAATTGAGCCACACAGGCGCCCTCCCCATTGGTGTTTTAACAAATATCGTCTCTTCTATGTGTTGTTTTTTAATGTCGAGATCACACTGAACTTAGAATTTTAAATATTGATTTTTAATATTGAATTGAATATTGAATTTTAAATATTGATTTTTTTTTACTTACTATTTTCTCAAGTCAATAAAAATTCCATGTAAACAAAGTATTTAGTGACAGTCTTTTAGATTTTAGTATCCAGCTACATATGGTTCATAAAGTTTACTGTTAAACTACTTAAAGATTGTTATTGAAGAAATAATGAAAACTTAGAGTATTTCTTCTCTCACACTCATGGTATCAAGAGTATCAGAAAAAAAAAAACAGGAAGCCTTTGCTTGAAATGCCTCTTAAGGCATTTCATGGGATTATGCTTTCTAAGTTTCATAGGTTTCATTTATTACTTGTAAATGTTTTCCTTACTAATAATATGCAGCCATAGTCACTTTCCTAGAAACAGAACTAAGAGGATAAAAATGGTTTCTTTTCTCTCTTACTGAAGGTGGTTGGAGGGAAAGTAAAGAAGCCCGGCAAACGTGGTCGGAAGCCAGCCAAAATCGACTTGAAGGCAAAACTTGAGAGGAGCCGGCAGAGTGCAAGAGAATGCCGAGCTAGGAAAAAACTAAGATATCAGTATTTGGAAGAGTTGGTATCCAGTCGGGAAAGAGCCATATGTGCCCTCAGAGAGGAACTGGAAATGGTAAGAAAGTCTCCCAATAAACACATGAAAAAATCAACCTAAGCTTAGCAAATTAAAGTATGAAGATACCAATTTTCATGTATTCACTTGACAAATATGGGAAAGAAATCTGTTAGCCAGGATGTAGGCAAATAAGCATTTTTGCACAGTGCTGGTGGAAGCAGAATGTACATGACTATTTTGCTGAGGGACTGTTCATGAAAGAAAAAAATGGAAAATAACCCAAATATACAACAATAGGAGATTTTTTAATGGCTGCAAAGTAGCCAACATTCAGATATTGGACTGCTTTGCAGCCATTAAAAAAAAACCCCGATGTACATATATATTTACTGTTGTAGAAAGGCATTCACAATATATTGCTAAGTGGAAAAGGCAATATAGCAGTATGTAACAATATGCATTGTATACCATTTGTATTTCATATTTATTCACCATGTTTCATTCATTCATTAAGACTTTGGGTGATGGCTGTAGAAATGTTAAAGAGAATGGAAATCTCATTACTATGACCTCAAGGGAGCAGGTGACAGGTTGGAGAAGAGAGAATACTACCATGATCATTACAAAACTGGGACAGGCTACTATCTCAGCATTTTAAAAGGCAAGACATAAGGTTGGGGCCTGAAGAGAATCCAGATATATACTATTCAGTAGATTTTAAAAATATATGTATATTGAATTTGACTTATGCTGTAAATTATTTCTCACGCTCTGCAGTGTAAACCACTTGAGGGCATAGCCTTTGAACTGACTAATCTTTGTATACCCCCTAAGCCCATAGTATACATTTGGTAGAAAGTAGACATTCAGTGAATGTTTATGAAAGAGAATGGAAATTACAGAATTATTTATTTTAGGAATGGAAATGATAATGTGATAGTTAGCAAAAAGAGAAGGATCCTAATTAGTGGCACACTGTGGGGAGATGTTCTTTTCACTAGAGGGGCCTTCTAAATCTGAACGCTACTCCAGTGTATCACAAGAAGAATCATCAGCGGTTTCCTACCCTCTCCTGAAAGATGGCAAGCCTTATACATGTCCTCCGAGGGAAACAGGAAATATGGTGGAGGGCAGGATTCCCAGCAGCCAGTTTGACCTCTCGTTATGGAAGTTACTACTTCTAGGATTTCCACCAGTGGTTCCTGAGCTCTGACTAGTAAAATTTTACTTAAATATATTTTACATATTTCAGTACAAGCAGTGGTGCATGGCAATGGACCAAGGAAAAATCCCTTCTGAAATCAAGGCCCTACTCACTGGAGAAGAGCAAAGCAAATCTCAGCAGAACTCAAGCAGGCACACAAAAGCTGGGAAGACAGACGCTAATAGCAATTCCTGTGAGTACAATGAGAGGGAGAGTTTATATTTAGAGGAGCATCTTAAGGTCGGGTTTCCATTGACCTCTTTCCTTGGTATGTCATTAAATAAAATGTTGATGTCATTTGTTATACACTAATAAGCAAGTGAAATAGTGTTAGATTCTAAATACTGAAGTGAATTTTACATGGTATCTATGAAGAGCAACTGCTAAATGTATGGAAGAATTTTAAAGAAGACTTAGCCCATAAATGGGAGTATACCATTCTAGTTATTGTTGGTAATAATGCCTTTTATTTGTATTTTGATTTACAGCTTACAAAACACTTTCACTTATACTTACCTTGCTTTTCCTCCAATGTTTGTGTTAAGGAATTATACTTTTTATTTTTGTTTATTTATTTATTTATTTATTTATTTACTTTTTTAAGATTTTACCCATTTATTTGACAGAGATCGCAAGTAGGCAGAGAGGCAGGCAGAGAGAGAGAGACAGGAGGAAGCAGGCTCCCTACCGAGCAGAGAGCCCGATGTGGGGCTTGATCCCAGGACCCTGGGATCATGACCTGAGCCGAAGGCAGAGGCTTTAACCCACTGAGCCACCCAGGTGCCCCTACTTTTTATTTTATAGATGAAGAAAGCAGAGGAGGGCGCCTGGGTGGCTCAGTTGGTTGAGCTACTGCCTTCAGCTCAGGTCATGATCCTGGAGTCCCAGGATCAAGTCCCACATTGGGCTCCCTGGTCGGCAGGGTGTCTTCTTCTTCTCTGACCTTCCCCCTCTCATTCTCTCTCAAATAAAATCTTTTTTTTTTTTTTTAAGATTTTATTTATTTATTCGTCAGAGAGAGAGAGAGAGCGCGAGCAAGCGCGGGAGAACACAAGCAGGAAGAGCGGCAGGCAGAGGCAGAGAGAGAAGCAGGCTCCCCACCGAGCAAGGAGCCCAATGCGGGACTCAGTCCCAGGACCCTGGGATCATGACCTGAGCTGAAGGCAGCGGCTTAACCAACTGAGCCACCCAGGCGTCCCTCAAATAAAATCTTAAAAAAAAACAACAACAGAGGAGTTGGATAAGGCACCCAAAGTCACACAGCTCTAATGGGAAAACCTGTCTTCACCTAGTTCAAACTCTTATCTAGTACAGTAGCCCATCACTGTAGGATTTTTTTTTAATTATGGTGAAATTTACATAACAAACATTTTAAAGTAATAGTTCAGAGGCATTTGGTACATTCACAGTGTTGTACAGTCACCACTTCTATGTTACAAAGCATTTTATCACCCCCAAAGAAAATCCCGAATTCATTAAACAGTTACTTGTTCTTATTCCATCCCTCCCACCCTTGGCAACTGTGAATTTACCTTCTGTCTCTGTGGAGTTACCTATTCTGGGTAAATTTCGTGTAAATGGAAACATACAGCATGTGATTTTCTGTGTCTGGCCTCTTTCAGGTAGCATGATGTTTTCATGCTTCATCCACATTATAGCATATACTTGTACTTTTTACATTTTGTGGCTATATAATACTCCAGTGTGTATGTATATAATAATTGATTTATCCATTGGTCTATTGACATTTGATTCTCCCTTTTGGCTATTGTGAACAGTATGCTTTGAAACATGAGCATACAAGTATGTGTTTGAGTACTTGTTTTCAATTCTTTGGGTTATACACCTAGAAGTAGAATTGCTGGGTCATATGGTAATTCCACATTTAACTTTTAGAGGAACCACTAACTGTTTTCCACAATAGCTGAAATATGCTGCATTCCTACCAGTAAGATAGGAAGCTTTCCATTTCTCTACATCTTGCCTGTGCCTTTTATTTTCCATTTTAAAAACTATAGCCTTCCTCAGATGTGAAGTAGTATCTGATTGTGGTATTGATTTGCATTTCCCTGAAGACTAATGGTGCCGAGCATCTCTTGTGCTTCGTGGCCATTTGTATATCTTCTCTAAAGAAATGTCTTAAGTCCCTTGCCCACATTTTAATTGAGTTGTTTTTCATTTTGTTGTTGAGTTGTAAGAGTTCTTTATATATTCTAGGTTCTAGACCTTTATCAGAAATATTTTGCAGATATTTCTCGCATTGTGTAGGTTGTCTTTTAACATTCTTGATAGTGTCCTATTAAGAATGCACGAAACATCGAAATTTTGTTGAAGTCCACTTTATCTGTTTTTTTCTTTTGTTGTTCATGCTTTGTCATGTGTAATAATCCATTGCTAAATCCAAGGTCATGAAGACTTACCCTTATGTTTTCTTCTAAGAGTTTTATGGTTTTAGCTCTTATATTTTAGCTCATTGATCTATTTTTGAGTTTATTTTCTATATGGTGTGAGGTAGAGGTCCAGTTTAATTCTTTTACATGCAAATATCCAGTAGTTCCAACACTATTTGTTGAAGAGACCAGGAAGATTTTGTAATGAAGATGTAATAGACTGGTTTCTTTGTCATTGTGACTGCTTTGGGAGCACTTGTAACAGTCATAAAAGTATGTTATAAACTTTTTGTCTTTTAAAATTTTTTTAAAGATTTTTTTTTTTTGAGAGAGAGAGAATGGGGGGAGGGGGAGGAGGGAGGAAGTGGGACAAGCAGACCCTGAATTCAGTGCAGAGCCTGATGCAGGGCTCAGTCTCAAGACCCTGAGATCACCACTTGAGCCAAACTAAGAGTCGGCCACCCAACCAACTAAGCCACCCAGATGCCCCTCTTTTAAAATATTTTTATAAAATTGAAGGGTTTGCTTTTTGATAGCCTTTCTTAGATGAGGTAACATTTGCCTTAATCTAAATTGAATTAATGAAAAAAAAAACCAGATCAGCTCAGTTTCCTTTCAATACCTATTTTTAAAAAGCCTTTCTCCATAGATACTAAACAAACAAAATGTATTTTAAAATAGATTAACCAAGCTTCATTGACTTGCAAGCATTCTTACATTGGTAACTTTATCTTTCAGGGTGAAGATTTTATAAAATGATGAGTCACTGACTGAAGCCAATACTTTATCCTATGGAGGACGAATGGGCAAGATTGTACTTCTTGGCTCCATTTACTACCTACTGCTCAGTAGTCATCTCTATAAATCTGCAATTTCTACCAAAATGTGTGATCATAGATTCCAAAGGATTTTGCTTTAACTTTCAACACTTAGAAAATTTATAAACATTCAGACCTGTTCTGGTTGCCCTTGCCACCCATGGCATTGAACATGTTGCAATGCTTGAAAACACAGGAGTAGAGAGAAGTGGGTGAAGATTGTATTTTTGCACCTTAACTCTACATTGCTTTATTGGTTAATTTATATTCTTTCCATGTATTTCATGTCATGTATGTGTATGTGTGTGTAGGTGTGTCACCTTCTTTTATGTTTTTGATTGCCCTACAAAGAGAAACCAAATGGGCTGATTACCAAGTTCTCAGCCTTTATGGACCTAATCTTATTTGTTTCTATTTACTTGAGTAATGTTTATTTTCTGCATGAACCATGATTTCTCCTGTGAGCCATTCCAGCATAAGCTGTGAATATGTATTAACAAATATATACATTTCTATTTTTATAATCCATAATGATATGCCTGTTTTAAATAACGTACATGTTAACAAAATCCATCAGGAAAGCCCCCAAGACAGCGTCTGTTTAAAACTTTTGTTGCTGTCTTCTCAAACTATATTTATAAAAGTTTGGTAGGGCCTAGTCCATACTTGGAGAATAATTAGTCAAATTTTATTTTTAAGCAAGAAGTAACCTTTTAGGCATTTCAGCAGCAGACATCCTCTTGACAACCTAGAATATGTATGTATGTACGTATATATGTATGTGTTTCTATCGTATGTCTGTATATGTATGTGGGGAGGGTAGGAGTGAATGTTCACACACATTGCCTTGTGTAGTCAACTAACTCGGAGAATTTTCCTAAAGAAAATAGGATGAAATTAGCTGCTGAGATCGAGTTTCTGCCTCAAGAGATCTGGAACAAACTGAGGGAGAAATTCTTAGTAGATCTAATGGCTGTAGGCATAACCAGAACACTTAGTTTCTTCCCTGACATGAGTTTCCATAGGAAAATGTTCTGAGCCAGGAAGAAACACACTGTGGATGTGCATCTGGTTCGGCCCTGACGGTACCTCCGCTCTGGAGTGAAGCCGTGAGCTGGAGTTGTGCACAGCAGGCGGCTGGTGGGCCAGGCAGGAGGGGCACAAGGCCAGAGTGGTTCTTTCCAGTTCCCGTCACAGCTCCATTTACTTTCTTCCTGACTACCAGAGTGATGGTTGAGGAATCAAGCTCATCATATTCTACTTGCAAGTAGATAGGAATCTTTCATTTTCCCCACTGAGACACTTTATCACTCTCTTCTCTTTCCCATAGTTAAATCAGGAACTGTGTTCTCTGTTGCTGCTAAATTATAATTGTTCTTAGCTCTAATGAAGCAAATATCTGGCTTCTAAACAGTATGTTTTGTTATGAAATGGCAGTCTAAGAGGAGGCATCATCGTCTAGACTGTGGGGTGGAACAAGAGATGGACCACGTAGTGTCAGATTACAAGGTACTCTCCCCCCTTCTCTTAGGCCACACGTTTGAATGAAGTGCTTCCCTTTAGCCTGAGTTCCTGAAGATCTCTTGTGTGTAGATTGCAAACTCAGATCTAGTCTAGTCCTATGTGACTACTGATATACCACTAGCCCAGCCTGTTGGGTCTCTCTGTGTTTTGGAGGACTGGGGGTTTAAGAGTATTTAATGTCTTTTTAGGATCACAAATATAGATAGATTAAAGATTGTTAATATTCAGACCTTCAGAATTTAAGTGTTTTAAATATAGTGTTCAGATTGTAATGGGTATGTTTTTGCCATCTGGTCTACTCAAGTGTATATTTTTATTTAGCAAAACAGCCCAAGATTTACTTTGTGTTGCTTTGTTCAATACCTTTTGAATTCCCCAGAAGAGTTGTTTTCAAAGCAAACATTCCAAAATGAATGTGGCTCTTCAATGGAATGTCTCCATTGTGCTTGAAGTATTTCTTCTCTGGTTGTAACGTTAAATTACAAGGTCCACCCTCACCCCCAGTATCTTTATAAGAGCAGTGACTTTGTCCTCAGGTAGAGGATGTGTAATTTTGGATGACAGTAAATTACAGCTTACTGAGTTTATTCCTAAACTGATCTTTTTGGTATTTTAAAGTAGATCATACCAAGAGAAAGTTCCTTGGTCTTAAAAAGGGATGTTTTGATTGCTTTGGGTATTGTGCTGGCTGCACGCTTTGGCCACTTGAAGCATGTTAATAAATGTCACTGATTCAAACAGCTGGAGCATTTCTTTTCCCATTCCAGTTAGGAAGCAGCATACTGAAACCATAGCATCTCTCCCTCTTTGTAATGACAGCACCCAGGCTGAGAGAGAACAGAGGAGGGTGAGAGAATCGGTAAGCTCTGTCCCTCTGGCATCAGTGCTATTCTCTGTGCTCCCTGAGTAAAGAGAGTAATGTTTTCTTTTTCTTTCTTTTTCCCCCCCCAAAGAAAGGAAGGTAAGGGGAAAATACACATTTGTGTATTCAGACCAGTCATATTCTGTCATCAACTTAGCATAGACCTGCCACATAGTAGAACAACTGAACATAATAGGGAATAAGTTTGACCAGGTCAAGTTTTAGAATATAGCTGACATTCTTAAAATTTTTTTTCCTATTTTATCTAAAAGCTGTCTGTTGCATCTAAATCAGAATCTGTCTTACTGCAGCAAATTCATATCACCGTGTACCAGCTAATTGACAGTATTTATCAGCATTACTGTTTAGCATTTTACTTCATCATCTTTGAATTATGATAGACTTGATTTGGCTTATTGCAAAAAGCATAGGTTTAAACTGGAGCTAGCTTTAGTTAAAATAAAGGCAAAGAAAATTTAAAAACATAAATACTATATTTCACCAGAAATCAGTTACATATTATCAATTACATATTTAGTTTTAAAAGAGAGGAAGATTATTAATCCATGTGGTATTTGGGGGTGTTGAGGGAATTCTTCTTTCTCTGAAGAGCATTGTACAATTATATTTTTATGAAAAATAAAATATCTTCACCAGAGACATCTCAAATGGTCTGTTTTACAATATTGAAGTAATGTCCATGTTAGCACAGTGTAGTAAAAAGAGTGAGATTTAAGCATAACTGGTCTTGGGGTCATTTTCTGAGTCACCTTGAAATCATTTACCTCTTAGCCTGTTTCTCATCTTTAAAAAAGGGGAAGATAACTTTGACAGAGTAATTGGCAGGCTAAATAGGAGTTATGAGCAACTGCTTCTTAATTAGTAAAGAACTATATTAAATTTAAAATAGTTACATATGCCTGGGTTTGTCTATTGTTAGAATTTAAATCACTGAAGGTAATTATTTTATTTAATGAGCTGGAATTTAAACATGGAGGGTTGTACTTATCACATTTCTGAAGTTTTTTTTTAGCTTCATCATTATGTCTATCCCTGGACTGTTATAGTTGGAAGCCATTTTTAGCAATAATAGCCTTCTGTTAATTAAGCTAATTTTAAGAATAATTAGTGTTCTAACTGGTAATAATCCTATAATCTGCATAAAGCAGGTTTTCAGGCTGCTAGGTAACTTGGTTCTCTTTTCCCTTATTCCATCCATTTTACTTAACTATAGAGTAGTCATGAATCAGAGCCAAGACTGCCATGTAAGGTTGTGCCAATTGTGCACTGCACAAAGGCACCCAGTTGAGGAGGTGAATGGACCTAAAATCTGGCTCACATTTCCTGCAACAGGCCATGTGCGGTGGAGAGGACACCTGCTGTCTCCTCACCAGAGCACCTGTGGCACAGATCTGTCCAGAGAGGTGCCTTTTTAAAAATTTGCCCTAAAGGAGTACCTTTCTTAATTCCTCCACCCAGAGGGTGCCTTTTTAAAAACAAGAAACCGTGTTTTGCTGCAGCTGGCTTATGGCTGGCTCCCCGAAGGAAAGCCAATTGTGTGCATCTCTTCTCAACTCCACATTGAGTGACATCCAGTTGGTCGCTTTTAATTGGCAACACTTGGAGTACTGACACCATAGACGTCAGTAAATGCTACAAATCAGGGATTCCTCCCCCCACCATGCCCTGCCAGACCTAATTTCCAGCACACCACTGAAAAAGACCTAGTGTAGGCTAGAATGGCCCTGACCAGAGCACGCATAGTAGAGGCCTCAACAATGTATGATTGGAAGACCCATGGAGCTGGAAGTGCTCTTTTGCTAAGTGTAGGCAGCTTGGAGATGTCCGTATCAAAATGAGATTGCAGTTGACTCTTGGACAACACAGGTTTGAAGTGCACAAGTCCACTTACACATATCTTCTCCAATACATACAGCACAACACTGTATTTTTAAAATAATTTTTAAAAATATATTAGAGTGTGGGGGGAGGGGCTGAGGGAGAGGGAGAGAGAGTTACAAGTAGACTCCACGCTGAGCTCAGAGCCCGACGCAGGATTGGATCCCACAACCCTGAGATCATGACCTGAGCTGAAACCAAGAGTCAGGTACTCAACCAACTGTGTCACCCAGGCACCTCGACCCTGTATTTTTCTTACAATTTTCTTAATTTCCTTTTTTCTAGCTTACTATATTGCAAGAATAGAGAAAATAATACATACGACATACAAAATATGTGTTGACTGTTAATAATAAGGTTTCTAGTCAACTGTAGGCTATTAGTAGTTAATTTCTAGGGGAGTCAAAAGTTCTATGTGGATCTCTGACTTTGTGGGGTGTTGGCACCCCTGCCCCTTGCATTGTTCAAGGGTCAGCTCTATTGATAGTTGTGACTTAGAAACTGTTCAGGACAGTGGAGAGATACTCAGCCCAACTCTAGAAGTGACTAAGAGGTAAATCAGTTGACTTCTTAAAGTAAGCCCTAGGGTCCAAGTGGACAGACTTATTCCCCTAGTGAGCTGGGACAGGTCCCTCAAATACCCCTGGGCTGGGTATTGGGCTGGAGGTGGACAGTGAACTTTGGCTTGCAGGCCATTTTTGACTCTGAGGAAAAACACATATTTGAGCAGGAAAAATGTCCTGTGGTTCAACAGAACTGATTCCATGCCTCAATGCCCCTGTGCTGAGAAGGAAAGCAATGCCTGCTAAGCACTTTATAGCCCCAAACCCAACATGGAACCAAGTTAGCAGGCTAAAATGACAACTTGGCCTGCACCGGGTAGACTTGGATAGTCCAGAACCAAACAGGCCAAAAGGCCATCCCAGGCCTACACAGAGTTTTGGATTGCACCACCTCAGTGGGATGAAGACTATGCCTGCCAGCACTACAAGGAAAGAAAGTATAGGATTTGTGGCGAAATAAATAAATGTATATACAAAATTCCCCTCAATGTCAAGCCAGGGCAGCCCTAGGCTACAACTGTCACATAAGGAGAAGAGCATTGGAAAAGGAAGGAAGAAAGGGGGGGGGGAAAGATGGCCAAGCCTTCTCCCCAAAGGAGGCCTTCACGTAGGTGTCAAAATACAAAATGAATGCCGGCAGTGCCTCTTCCCTTGTGAGAGGAGCCCTGCGTTTTTACCACTCCAGAGAAAAAAAGGAAAACCCACATGCCCTTGAGCTTTTTAGGGAGGCAGAGGAAGAAGCCTACCCAGCAGGCACGAGTGCAGTGTCTTTAAAGCAGAACTATGTGCTCTTCCTGGCACCCAGCAGAGTGGAGAGAGCCAGAAGTGGTGGGGCAAGGGAGGCTTGAGGAAAAATCGTAGCACAATGGCGCTCAGGAGATGCTGACTCAGTGCCCAGCCAGACAGACTGCAAATATAACATAGGAGAAAGTCCTTTTTCAAATTTTACAAAGGGCTCATCACACAGGTCCTTTCTATTATCCCTCCATTAGGGAAATTAAATGTCTTATAGAAGACATGAAGATATTTCTGCAAAAGACATCCAAATGGCCAAGAGACACATGAAAAAGTGCTCAACATCACTCGGCATCAGGGAAATGCAAATCAAAACCACTCACGCCAGTCAGAATGGCTAAAATTAACAAGTCAGGAAACGACAGATGTTGGCGAGGATGCGGAGAAAGGGGAACCCTCCTACACTGTTGGTGGGAATGCAAGCTGGTGCAGCCACTCTGGAAAACAGCATGGAGATTCCTCAAAAAGTTGAAAATAGAGCTACCCTATGACCCAGCAATCGCACTACTGGGTATTTACCCTAAAGATAAAAATGTAGTGATCCGAAGGGGCACATGCACCCGAATGTTTATAACAGTAAAGTCCGCAATAGCCAAACTATGGAAAGAACCTAGGTGTCCATCAACAGATGAATGGATAAAGAAGATGTGATATATATATACAATGGAATACTATGCAGCCACCAAAAGAAATGAAATCTTGCCATTTGCAATGATGTAGATGGAACTAGAGGGTAATCCTAAGCGAAATAAGTCAACCAGAGAAAGACAATTATCATACGATCTCCCTGATATGAGGAATTTGAGAGGCAGGGCAGGGGGTTGTGGGGGAAAGAGAGGGGGAAAATGAAACAAGATAGGATCGGGAGGGAGAAAAACCGTAAGAGACTCTTAATCTCACAAAACAAACTGAGGGTTGCTGGGGGGTGGGTGGGAGGGATGGGGTGACTGGGTTATGGACACTGAGGAGGGTATGTGCTATGGAGAGTGCTGTGAAATGTGTAAGCCTGATGATCCAGACCTGTACCCCTGGGACAAATAATACGTTATATGTTAATAAAAAAATGTCTTAGAGATCATTAACCACATCATTCTGTACCTGGGGGTGACAGAACAACATCAGGCTAAAGTGTGCTCATCAGTTTGTTCCAGATACAGTGAAAATCAAGTATCTCTACAAGTATACTAGGTACCCATGGCATTTTGAGTCAGGTGGCTGTTTAGGACATTTTTGTTGAGCAAAAAGAAGTAGGCAGCTGTGCTGGTAGATGTTTAACAACCGACTCCTGGTTGGGGGAAGTCTGTTTGCAGTGTTCAACAATTTCCGGGGTAGAAAAACTCCCACCGTGGTTGATTTAGGCAACCA